ACTGCGTTACTTACGTGGTGTTGCCATCACACCCGAGCAATCCTTCGTATACAGCGATTGTCGAAGACTGACAGCCGCTTCATATCCTCCGAGCGAATAAGCCAAGTCTCACAGCCGTACAAGTGTACTGCACGGACGGAAGCATTGTACACCCTGCCCTTGGGCTTGTGACTGACATCACGATGACGCCATAGGTGTCTCAGTTTGATGAATGCAAGGCGGGCCTTTGCAATCCGTTGTGAGACTTCATCTCCAACACCGCCACCAGCCGTGATGCAACTCCCTAGATAAGTAAAGCAAGGGACTTGCTCCAGAACATGTCGAGCAATGGTGAGCGCGGGTTCAGGCACCTGCCAGTCGTGGAGCAGCGTTTTAGATTTTCCCGGAGTGAAGCATAAGCCGTACTTAGACGCCTCCATCGCCAAGCGGTCCAAAGCACTCTGGACGGTTTGTGGGTCGTCCCCCAGCAAGGCGATATCATCGGCGTAGTCCAAGTCCGTGACTCTGTCTCCAGGGAGGACCTCAACACCGCAGTCCTGGACACCTTCCAGTGCTCTTTGGAGAACATCTTCGACGGCGAAATTAAAGAGGATACAGACCTAAGTATCATCATACAAGAAAGTATTGGTAATTCGCTCCAATGTTCGTAAGCAGCAAATGTGGCGAAGTTGAACTTGAGGCTTTTGTGGTGAGCTTTAAGCAACTTAGTAAACTGACTGATTAACTTGTAAATTCGTCCGCATGTCGAATATGCGGTTCAGGTCGGGAGTCCATGGTTAAAAGGAGAGACGTTTCTTAGAGCAGACCCAAAGAAGAGCCATCAAGGCGACAGGTGGACTATCCGGTTTCAGTTACGAACTGTCTTCATTTACTCGATCTGTTCTCTTCACAATACCGTCGGCTTCGCGGAGACCTGATTCTAACACATCAGATAATAACCGAGAGCGATCACCCATGTAAGTCACTGCTGATCCTAGCCCCTTACAAACAATGCCGTGGCCACCACCTGAAACTAGTAATTCGACATTCACGTTAGGATTGCAGGATGTTCTTACTCACTGTTCAAACTGGAATTCACAGCCAACAGATGTGGTGAACGCGCTAAACATCGCGACATTCTAAAGACTATTAGGCTTTCATCTAAGCGAGAAACGCCAAACAACAGTATGGTAAATTTCAATATAAAGACATTGATTTTATTTGTATTTGCCATCGTGCAGTTCTTGTATATACATGCAAACTCCAACTTTGGTGCGTGGATGCTACAGCTGGCGTCGCGTTTATATGAAGACATTTATGTGCGTGCCTCCTGGATCGCGTGTGAAATGACCAAGGGAGAAGCTCAACATCGCAATTCGGGACACCTTCTAGCACCCGTTTCACGACATCTACGATAGTAAAATTGTAGAGGAAAAGTGAAATAGGGCAGACTTCGCGAACGCCGCTAGTGACAATAAACGAAGAGGACAGTCTACTGTAAGCCCTAATTCTGCCCGAGGTGTGACTGTACAGTTCCCCCAGAATGGTGAAAAATTTGTCGGGCACACACTTCCTTAGCAGACTTCCACAAAGCGAACCTAATACCGCACGGATATCCAGGAACACTATGACTGTTGGTCGACGATGGACGTGGCGAAGCTCGAAAATTTGTCGGGGCGTGAAGATTTGATCAATGTAACTTCGGCTTGGGCGAAAACCTGCTTGTTCCTCTCGGGAGAAGCTCTCTCTGGTAGAGGAAACCCTGCGAAGTTGGATACAAAAAGCTTGGAACCAAATGAGATCAGCGAGATTCCGCGGTAATTAGCGCAGTCTTCGCGGGGGCCCTTCTAGTGAAGCGGGGCAACGATTGAGTCTCCTCATGAGTTGGGACTTTCTCATCAGTCCAAGGTAAGAGCAATTCACTGACAAGTACATCTCGCCATTTTTGAAAAGAGCCGGAGGAAGGCTGTCAGGGCCGGGAGCTTTATGCCGTTTCAAAGATCGGATTGCGCTTCGGATCTCTACTTCGGTAGGAGGGTCAGTGGGTACAGGCTAAGTATCATCAGATGGAGATAGACGTGCCACAGAGGGATGTGCTGGGTAGTTAAATTTAAGAGCAAAGTGCCCCGGCCAGCGTTCCAATCACCTCTGCAGGTTGGTGATATTTGAACCGTCTAACTCACAGATTGTCTGACTGATGGCGTGTGAATTGCAACCGGTGACCTTGAAGAGGGGAAACAAACGGCGGCAGTTGCCAACCGCCATCTCGGCAGCACGTCTAGACCACCATGATTCATGGTCAGATCGAAAGCTTGCTTTCAGTTGCAGAGAAATAGACCGACGGATTTCGTTGCTTTCCATGATAGCGGGCACGGCACGTTGGCGGTCTAGAAGTTCCGAGGAAGTTGCCGAGATCCAGCTTTTGGTTGTGCAGTGGACGAAGCCGCAGCTGGACAAACCTGCGGACAGCATGGCGTTTTGCAAGCCTAACCAGTGCTGATCGGCATCCAGAGAAGAGGGAGCAAGGTTTGCATGAAGCCTCTGTTGATAATTTGTTTGTACTGCAAATGTTTAGTCAGGTTTGTTTGGTCCTTGTGGATCCACCGAAGCGCATGCAAATTGTCGCGCACACCAATGCATGACCGGTTTTCACACAGGTAGACCAGTATGATCGGCAATCGTGTATACTTCCACGCCACCGACTTATGGCTATGTGGTCAATTTGCGACCAACGCTGGGTTGATGATGGAGGACGCCAGGTGGCATAGTGTCGCTCGGAGTGAGGAAAGCAATCATAGAGGGATCAGTCTGATTTCGATTGCCTCTAAATTGCATGCCTGTCATTCTCCACAGACTGGCTGGCACTCGTGAAAGCCAGATTCGTGAAGAGCAAGCCGGATTTCGTCGAGGTCGGGGCTGCATCGACCACATCTTCACATTGCGTCAAGTGTTGGAGCACCGCCGTGTTTATTGGCGACCCACCGTTGTCGTGTTTCTTGACATAAAAGATGCGTTCGATTCGGTCGAACGATGTGCCCTTTGGGACTGTCTGCTGAGGAAAAGTGTGCCTGATAAATAATAATAATAATAATGATGATGATAAATAATAATAAATATAAACATTATCAAAGCGCTGTACGCGCATAGTTCGGGCAAGGTGAGGGTTTATGGCAAACTCTCGCCACCCTTCAGTATCACTAGCGGCGTGAGACAAGGATGCCCGCTGTCACCTTTCCTCTTCAACTTCGCTATTGATGAAGTCATAGAAACAGCGTTCGCTGGACACGACCTAGATGGTGTGGAGCTACTTAGTGGTGAGCGACTTCTTGACTTGGAGTATGCGGACGATATTGCCCTAATCTGTGACAGCCCCCAAACATGCCAGAGAGCACTGGACCGGTTAGCACTGGCTGTCAATCGTTTTGGGCTATGCTTTGCTCCATCGAAATGCAAAGTACTTCTCCAAGATTGGCAGGGACCCAACCCTGCGCTAACGCTTGGTGGTGATCTGCTAGAAGTCGTTCAGGAATTCAAGTACCTGGGCAGCTATATTAGCACCCGTGGGATTGAAGATGAAGTTACGAACCGCATAGCAAAAGCTCGAGGTGCTTTTGCCAATCTCCGCCACCTGTGGCGCAGACGCGACATTACTCTCGCCCTCAAGGGCAGAGTTTACAACGCAGCCGTCCGTTCTACTCTCTTATATGGTTGTGAAACCTGGCCCATCAGGTCGACTGACATGAAGAGACTAGTCACATTCGATCATCGCTGCCTTCGCAGCTTAGCTCATGTCTGGTGGGAACACCGCGTGAGCAATGAGCGTGTTCGACGTCGCGTATTTGGTGCAGGAAGAGCGAGTGAACCGCTCAGCACCATTATATCACGCACCAGGCTCCGATGGCTGGGCCACGTGTTGCGCATACCAGCACACCGACTCCCGCGACGTGCATTGTTTGCGCGTTGTGGGTGCGGTTGGAAGAGGAGGAGGGGAGGCCAAGTGATGACTTGGTCGAGAGAAATGAAAACCCTCACTTCGAAGTTGGCGTCGGTTGGTGCATCCCGACTGCCTGGCTGGGGTCCTAAGGACGGTGAACACGTTTGGTTGGACACGCTTGCTGATATGGCTCGGAGCCGGCACCAATGGCGTTTGTGTTGTGATTTCCTTTGCCCATCCCCCTCCAATCACGATCTCACCTGTTAGGCATAATATGATTCTCTTTTTACGGCAGCCAGCTGTTAGCTCTCCGGAACGATGTCCATCCGTTACTGGGGACTCAGCGGGCGTGCCACTGTTTGTTTTCCTTTTCTTCTATTTTGTATTGCGGCACAATAGCTGAGGTGTTTTCCACCTCCAGCTAACGTGTAATGATGATGATGAGGAGGAGGAAAGCTCGTACCGGAGAGGAAAAGGTGGTGATCACCACATACTGAGCAGTCTTTTTCCATTGTCAGAGCGAACATCATCATATCCATGTGGTCCCCTGAGGTAGCGTTCAGATGGAAGCAGCTGACCAATGCGTGAGTTGAAATCGCCTGCCATAATGAGGATGACCCTGATGTCAAACATAAATAGCAAAGTGGTTAAAGTTACGTGTCACAAAATATGGAATAAAAAACCATATGATTACGAAAAGCGAAATATGTCGGATAAAAACTCAGACCGATCACACATTGTGACTAGGTACCAGTTGCTGAGTGGATGTCGATTCGCACAATAGTGGATAGTATTTATCCTCCAATGGTTGATCGATCGAACACCGGGAATGTCCCAGACCGGACGAAATCGGGTAGCGGGAGTACGCAGGAGCTCAGTACCAACGCCTCGCGGTCACGAAATCCCTGGCGGTTAAAAATAATGACCCGTAGATTACAAACTAAATGCCTGAATCAGGCTTTGCCATCGAAGTGATGGGGTCTGAAAAGGATAAGATAAAGCGAGCAACGGAGTCACATTATTGTAGCCTAGGAGTAATGTGACGGGGAATCACTCCTTAGGCATTCATTCTTTGTAACGGACTCACCAAGTGATCATATTGCCCATGGTGTGATCCTCGCGATTTAGGGTGAATATCGCAGCACTAGGAACTTGGGTATCTTTCTCGAACGAGATCCTGAGAATAAGCAAAATTAATGACCCACTTTTTCTCGCCGTCAGCAAGAAGAAAAGGTTCAAAGGATGCAGGTGCATTCATGGTTCCGTTCGATTACCAAACGTCGAACAAACGGCCACAAATGAAAGGGAATCAGCTAAAATGAAGTGCACTCGATCACTCAACGTGCGGTAACGACGATCATTCGAATCAGCAACAATAACTAAAGCAAAAACAGCTGTGCATCGGAATTGGTATTGCTATTTACTACCGCAAGTAAAAGTTGTGGGGTAGTCGTGCGAATGAATATTAAGAGGACAGATCAAGTAGGACCTAATGCATAGCCTAGAAACACTAAGCGAATAGTTACAATAAAAGCACATACACTGGCTCAAATAGTGCGGTCACAGTTTGCTATCATGTTATGACAGCAGCTGGCTTGCCGAATAATCTCCTCGTTGTGCCAACTAGGTGGTTCCGGATTATTCCGTTCCAGCAAATGGTTCGGCGACAGTGATCCAGGACGCGATGGGCATTCGCCTGACAAGCGTCCTCTCGATAAAAAGCCACATAGCTCCGTTTAACAACATTCTTACGTGGCGGATATGACTCGCCACTAGATAAAGTCACTGCCCCATGCCTCATACTGGCGAAGCACTGTAGTCCAGTAATTCAATGCTGAAATTGTGGGGAACATCACGCAACTGGTTGGCAAACGAAAGGCGCATGAACCGGACAAACAGTCACTGGCTCCCGACGGGCGCGATTCCCTGAACTCCATCCGCTGCCTTACGGACAGACCATACAGCCAAAGGCTCGGGGTGGTGACCCTAAGTCAACACCGTACATCAATTTAGGTAACCGGGTAATACCTCGCATCTGACGAAATCATAGACACCTACGTGCTGCGTATTTTAAGGATATCCGTAATTTCATCCGGAGCTCCATGGCTTTTGATGGCCCATGAGTATTCGCAGGATGCTGAATATATATATATATATATATATATATATATATATATATATATATATATATATATATATATATATATGGCGCGACGCGAGAGCCTATGGTGTGCTGAGGCTGGTGGTGGCTAGATCCTGACAGATGGTCTGCCACTGCTGCTACTGTTGTGCCATTTGCTCATGTCTTGGGCGCCTCCTCGTGGCGACCGCTCTGTGGGAGTTGGGTTTCGCCTTTCTCCCTGCTAAGATCCAGGACACCAATCGGCATGAGTCACTGAACTAAACATGCGCTAGACCCGCTGCATTTCGGGTGTTCATTTAATCGAAGGCGTTGGCTGAGGACCCGAGTCGTTCTGCTGTCAGATGTGGGCATACTGCCAGTATCCTAGTCCATCCTCTTCGGAGGTTAGGTAGTGCTCGATGACCCTCCACCCGGAAAACGTAGCCATGGGAGACAACAAGCCAACGGGTCATAAGCTCACAGCTCGATTGGTGTAGAGCACGCGCGCCACGCATTGTCTCTGACGATGGGAGGGCACCTCCGGGTGTTCAATGGTTTGCTACTCCCCGCCTCAAGCCAGGCAGCCCCTGGTCAAATTGGTGCAAACCCGCCAAAACCCACCTGTGTCGCCGTGGTCGCAGGTATATCCTACTACGGTCGCAGAACATATATGAATGGTTCCAGTACCTCCAAGGGTGCGTGTGACGGCCGTCAAGCAGATCCCAATCTGTCTCTGCAATCACATTCCCGAGCTGGATCTACTCCCCACTGTCTTGTGGGTCCGGTTGTTGCGCCAAAGGCTCCGGGCAGAGTCCGTCAAGCAAACCTCCAAACCACTCATTGCTTTGTGGGTCAGGCTATTTAACCAAAGGCTCCGGTCGGAGTCCCGCAAGCAAACCTCCAAATCACCCACTGCCTTATGCATAAGGCTATTGAGCCAAAGGCTAGGGGCAGAGTCCCTCAAGCAAACCTCCGAAGCACAACCGCCCCCTCGCGTGCGATTGCCCACCAATGAAATCGTATCCACGCGCGCAAAGCACTCAACCTCGGGTGCTGGAACGTGCGCACACTACTGGACCGGAACTCCAGCGAGCGTTCGGAGCGACGCAAAGCACTCGTCGCGATGGAACTGACGCGCTACCGCATCGATATTGCGGCGCTCAGTGAGACTCAGATCGCTGAGCAAGGTAAGTTGCATGAAGCAGGTGTTGGTCACACATTCTACTGGGTGGGCAACGCCGCCTCAGCACCACGTGATCATGGGGTCGGATTTGCAATATCCGATCGCCTTCATGGCGTGCTGGTGGGTGAACCAACAGGCATCAGCGCGCGACTGATGACTGTTAGTCTACGACTCGGAAGAGGTAAGTCTGCCACTTTTATAAGCACGTAAGGTGCGACCATGTGTTACGCTGATGACACGTGACCAATTCTACACTCACCTATCCTCCCTAATACCGACCGACTATTTCTGCTGGGGGATTTCAACGCACACGTTGGGCATGATGCATCGGTGTGGACAGATGTTATCGGTCCGCATGGCATTGGTTCAGCGAATGCGAACGGTGACAGGCTGCTCTCAGAACCTGACGATCACGAACACTCGGTTTGCACTGAGTGCGAGTGATATAGCAACTTGGACGCACCCACGGAGTGGTCACGCTCACCTGCTCGACTATGTCATTGTACGTCAGCGTGATGTGCGTGAAGTGCGCATGACACGTGTACTGCGTGGAGCTGAGTGTGGCACTGATCACACATCGGTGCGGACCAAACTGTACATATATTTTTGTAAATCTATGTATTGCACTCCCACCGTGAATCGGCTTAAATTTAACATTCTCTGCCTTGCTACTGTGGCGAAACGTATTGAGCTGGAGAAGGCGATGGCCGCACGCCTGTGTGATGTGGAATGCATAGCCACAGTGGGCGACCTGTGGTACCACAATCGTGATCAGGTGACAAGTGCTGCCGAGGAAACCATCGGGCGCGCAAACTGTAAGCGGGCTGATTGGTTTGCTGAGAACAATGCGACGATTGGCGCATTGATGTGTGAGAAGAATGCAGCATTTGCTGCACATGTCGCAGACCCCAGTGACTTGGGGAAGAAGAGTCAGTTTCGCAAACTTCCACTGACCCGAGAGCTCCGTCGCATTAAAAATGCATGGTGGACGGAGAAGGCGAAGCAGATGGAGTGCTACACCGAACGCCGCCAAAACAAGGAATTTTTTGACTCCTTGCAGGCGGCGTATGCACCGACATTGGACCTGCTGAGGCCAACCAAAGGTAGATCAGCCCTATCTACACACAGACTGCAGACATAATACAGATGTGGCAAAAAGGTTTCGTTTGTCTCTTGAATAAGCGTTCAAAGAGCGACTGCCCCACATTGAACGGCAACAAGCATCACGATGTGAAGGCGAGTCTGGCGGACACACCGACATTGGATGAGACGCAGCGAGCACTTGCTCAGTTGCGAAACGGCAAGTGTGCCGGATCCGACGGGATCCCGCCTGAAGTATTGAAACACAGCGGATTCGCGTTGTTGACTGCGCTCCACCACTTGGTGTAACGTGTGTGGATTGAGAAGGTGCATCCTAAACTGAAGCATGCCGTTGCGCTACCACTGCACAAAGGCAAAGGGAGCAATAAATGTACCACGAGTTATCCTGGCATCAACTTGCTAAGTTGTGTGGGCAAGGTGATTTCCCGAATCCTGCTCAACTGTGTTGTCAGTCAGGTTGTGGAAACTAAAGTGGCGGAAGAGCAGTGTGGATTCCGCTCGGGTCGCATCACTATAGATATGGTGTTTGCGGCTCGTCAGTTGCAGGAGAAATGCAGAGAACGACACCAACCACTGTGCTCGCATTTTGTTGATTTCAGCAAGGCATTTGATACGGTGAACCGCGAGGCATTGTGGCTGGTGTTGGGTGAGTTTGGTTGCCCGCGTAAGTTTGTAAGTTTAATTGAATGTCTGCACAGTGGTATGCGAGCGAAGGTGCAGCTTAGTGGAGAGACCTCGGATGAATTTGCAGTTGTCTGTGGTGTGAACCGAAGCTGTGTCTTAGCTCCTGCCCTGTTTAATATTTATCTTCATGCACTGATGGTTGTTTAATGCCGCTTTTACTTACGGAGTTCGTGTGAAGCACCGTATTGATGGTGGGTTGCTGAACATCCGTCGTTTCGGTGAGGGAACCCTAGCCTGTGGGACAACTATCCGTATGTTGCTGTTTGCTGACGACTGTGCGTTGTTTGCACAGAGCGCGGATGATTTGCAGCATATGACTAGTGCTCTGGCTTCGACAGCGGCCAAATTCGGGCTCACCATAAACACAAGCAAAACTGTCTGTCTCTTTCAGCCCTCACCGGAGGTGCAATCTTCAATATTGCCGCGAACAAGCATTGGTGCCGAAGTATTGGAAACCACCTCCCGCTTCTGCTCCCTTGGGAGTGTGATGTCAGCTGATCAGTAGATACACAGTGCGCTGCATATGCGCGTGTCAAAGACAGAGGCGGCATTCGGGAAGCTTGAGTACCGAGTGTGGAACAACCATCAGCTTACCATTGGCATGAAGCTGATGCTGTACAAATCCATGGTGCTGTCCGTTCTTCTATACGGCAGTGAAAGGTGGATGATGTACCGGAGGGATGTGGGATATCTCGACCGGTTCCATCAGCAGTGTTTGCGACGGATTCTGCGCATCGGTTGGGGCGACAGAGTTGCAGACACGGAAGTGTTGCGACAAAGTGGAATGTATGCAGTGCACTGCATACTTTTGTTGAGACACCTGAGGTGGCTCGGTCATGTGTGGCGTATCGATTCGACGCGGATACCGAAGCAACTCTTATATGGTCAGCTGAGTATAGGGAAGCGACACGTGGGGAAACCAAAGTTACGTTACCAGGACATGATTAAAGTGAGCCTCTCACGTTCTAATCTTGATTGCAGATCATAGGAATCGAAGGCGGTTGATCGGCGTGCATGGCGCGATCTAATCGCGTAGGCAGTTGCTGAAGTGCGGGGGAAAGACCTCAAACATGCAGAGAAGAGTCGGCAAGTGCGGCAGCGGCAAGCACCGATGGGTTGTACTCCATCGACATCGAGCGCATGGTGCTGTAGCACACGCGGTCG